ATCATCGTGGCAATCCTGCAGATTCCGAACACCGGTTGCAACATGGGGCGGGAGGAGAATAGTGCCAACACTGGCATTCAACTGAACATTCTTGGAGACCCGAACAGGGATCTCGCCAAGGCAAGACAAGGCTGCCAAGCGGGAAGCTGCATCCTGAGAAGGAGCAGCAACGACACGTGTACCGAGACGAGTGGGGTTGAATGTAACAGATGCATCCACGGAATCAACAAGATGCCGATGGAGGGAGAAATCGTCAGGAGGCGCAGAATCAAGAGGGAGAAGATCAAAGTATTTGGCCCATGAAGCGGGACGAAACAAGGCCTGATACGCAGCAGTACGGGAAGGAATCGAGCGAGTGCGGCCGGGGCTCGAACGGCGTTGAGAACCCCGAGAGAGAGAGGGGTTAAAAGACGCAGTAGTCACAACGAGACACTTAGCCGCACCAGGGGACGAAGTGGTCACCACTGGGGGCTGGAGGCTCGACCCAACCACAGAGGAGGGAGGGGAGCTGGGGGAAGAAGTCAGGACGGTCAAAGGAGGAGCAAGGTCGGGGCCCAACGCAACAGGAGCTACAGAGCCTGGTCTTCCAATACAGGCCGACTCGGGGGCTTGGTCGCCCGCCCCACGAGCCTGAGAGGGTACAACGGAAACATTTATCGACATAGAGACAAAGAGAAAGAAATTCATCAACGAATGTGCCCCCATACCCACCATGGAGCCACAATAAGAGGCAGGACACCCAACAGGAAGCTATCGCCGATTATGCCGGGGCCCCCTAGGGGTGCGTCGTTAGTATACGCCCCACAAACGCCACCTTAAGAACCGTCAGTCCGTCGAGATCGGGTTCAGCGACGAAAGCGGGGATTGACAATAAAAGGTTCCTCTCGCTCAAGACGTCGGGTACAACAGTTCTCCGGGTGCAAGAGTATGCCTCCTCAAGCACCCGGGCGTCAAAATAGAAGAAGTCCAAAGAAAGATCCAAAACAAGCAAAAGGTCGGCAGGAAACGACAAGCAGATAGGAGAAGAGGGGGAGAAAAACGAAACAGAAGGAAAAGGAAAAGGTGCTCAGCACAATTGGAGAAGACGGCAGCAGGAGCACAAGGCTAGAAAAGGACAGAGGACTGCCCCAAGGAGCATCACACTCCCGCAGCCGACCACTAAGCCCCCCCTCACGGTATCAATGAGCTGAGTGGGGAGGGGGGGAAAGCTAAGAAGGTAACAGCTAACTTATCCCTCAAAGATAGTAATTATGAGGAAGCTATACAATTGTTGGAAGTTAATTACTGCAACAGAGAAATGTAGCTAATTTATATTGTCAATTAGTAGATATAAGTTCACCCTGTAACAGACCAGACTCCCTTCAGAACTTCAGATTAGAAGTAGAGTCTCTCGTGAAAGCATTAGGTACTAAAGTAAATGTATAATCTTCCGAATGGTCACTTTAATTACTCCTTCGGAGGTAACTTCCTCGTAATATTTTAGCAGAAATCTGCTCCCATTACAAGACAGAGATTATCACTCTTGATCATATATTTTAGGGACTGAAAATCACTGTCAATAGGCTAAAGGCTCATGAAAAAATTAAATCTGAACCCAAACAGCCTAATACTGAGAATTTAGTGAAAATAAAATTGACTTCGGTTAAGTCTAATAAATGCAAAACTAAATTTACTACTCCCGCAGCATGATGTGAGAGTAGTAACATAGGTAATTATTCCTTGACTCCCACTGAAACTGTAGTCAATAGACCTGCTAAGACGACTAATCCTGAAGGAGAGATAGAGAATGTTTTTTCTGCAATAAGGAACACCTCGCTTACAAGTGCAGTACCGTAATTCCAGGATTAAACGTCTTCAAGGATTTCGCAGATGCACAAAATGCATGGGTTCTCATGACCCTAATAACTGTACCGTTACCCAACGTGTGTGAAATAAGTTCCACAAAGGTCGACATCATTATACTTTGTGTGGAGATATCTGACCAGGATCAACGAATCGTCATAAAGATTCAAGCAACTCCTCATCGGTACAATACTGCAAAGTACATTAGGAAGTAAATGTACTTGCTACAGAATCAGGTTATACCACCACATTACCTACAGAGCTACTGAAATTAATTAGCAAGAAGTCTAGGATCTCCACTCATGGTCTTTTCGACCAAGGTTCTTAGAGGACCTTCATTACTCAACAACTGGTTGATCAGTTAAAATTAAAAACTTTAAGTTGAGTGAAACTGAATATTTCAGAATTCTTGACCAATAGTGGACCTCGTGATTACCAAGTTGTAAGAATTTTGGTACGTCTAGGAGGCTATACTAACCGAAAACAAGACATCGTCGTTGACACGATCTAATCTGATCTTCATGTATCATGTCTTGGGGATACAGTTAAACTTCTTAAATGCAGAAGCATGAAGCTAACTGATTATAAGATGAATTCTGACTGTATCACCGACGTGGGTATTCTTGTAGGGGCAGATTATTATCAGAGGTTTATTACTGGACCAAACAACGTGGAATGAATTTGTTGCTGTCAGTTGGAGGAAAATTACTTACAGGACCGGTGCTACCTCAGCAAAAAATCTACACCCACAATTAACCAACATAATAATTCAATCATAGTGACGTGACTAGGCTATTGGAGAGTAGGGTGGAGTAGACGTCTGATCACTAGTTTGTTGCTCTTGCTGTAAATTCTTGAATATGCAGACGTGGTGGTAGAACAAGTGAATATGGAACAGGCTCAATCTTCTTCTCTAGGGAAAACCTTGTGACATGTCCCCCTCCACCCAAAGCCTGGTCCTATTGCTTGTTCGACTGCAGTAGAATGTTGAGTTGAAGATTTTTTTTTAATCATAGATAAAAAAACAAAGTACAAAAACAGGGAACAAGTACGAAATAACAGATAAATACAAACAATCGTGCTAATACATGAAATAAAGCAAACACCAGAAAAACAGACATTAAAATACAAACAAGAGGTCACAGGAAAGCACAGAGGACACAAGCAAAGAAACCCACAAACAGCATGGGACATAAAATGCATACAATACACAACAAATAAATGACATAAGTACAATAACAAAAATGTACAAGAAAAAATACACGAAAGTTACAACAAATGACCAGGAAATCCAAAAACTACACATAAGAACATAAAGAGCATAAATTACGTACAAAGAATAAAGCAATTTCAAGGACAAAAAAATAATTACACACACACACTTAGGGCAAGAAACACAAGGCAATAATAACAAAAAAAGAACCACACAGGGAACTGAAAAGACAGAAAAACAAAATGCACAAAAACCATGCCAACGACCAAAAGGTCGTACGGACACAAGCACATAATAGAAACTATAGACAAAGCTAAAAGCAAACACATACCCAAGGCAAGAAACACAAGGCATTAATAACAAAAAACAGAACCACACACGGAACTGAAAATAGAGAAAAACAAAGCCCAAATACATGCAAACGACCAAAGGGCCATAAGGATACAAGTACATAAAATAAACGATCACCACACGAAACACACCACTACAGCGGCACAATAGCACAACCAGCCACACATAAGACACACAAAGCTGCAAGTATAGACCCACACCCAACCACAAAGCCAATCACACAGAACACACAAAAGTCGAACAGGAGGATATTTCTCAGGGTATGTATACAGCGGATACCGCCGCTAATAAGCCTCCCATACCAAATACTCCAGTTCCGTAGGGGCACGGCCCTCACGAACTCGCGGGTACTCCATATGTTCGGGGATTACCACATCCGGCGGAAGCGGGCGCCACCGACCCAACACGGAAGCCCGGGACATCGCCGCCGAGGAAGCAGGAGATACCGGAACAGCGGGCGGAGGCCGCCCATCGGGCCCCACACGAGGGTGCACACTTCGTTCTGTAATAAACCCTCAATGTCCCTTTTGTTATCACGCTGAACCTTTCAATGGTAACCCTTCTCTGTACTCTGTGAACGGCTCTCTCTTCGCTCAATACCCCAGCTAAACTCTGTTACAGTCCATTATGACCCCTCACTGGACAGCCACGAATATAAACTGAATATTAAATGAGGAGGGCATAACAAGGATAGGGGTTATTAATTTATTACTAATTATAAAATAAAAACATTAAACACTGCCACCACCTTATAAACATAAATGAATGTGTCTAAAATTATTGAGACCCTAGGAAGGAAGGGACTCAATAATCAGGGAACTCAAAGTAAATGACTCTTAATGGATTAAACCTGTAGTCTTACAGAACTGAACGGGAGATTCTAGAGCGACTTTACTATTCATAAGATGGAGAACACAGGGGAATTTCTAGCACAGCAAATGAGAATCACAAGAATGAATAACGCAGTCATTAATCAAAGGGAACAGATAACTAAACAAAAATTACGTTAATATTTATTTATTTATCGGAACCAGTATATTTAAATCAAAATTGAAACATAGCCTACTCTAATAAAAAATTAAAATCTCCTATGAGGCACGGCCTGTAATACCAGGGTTACAACTCAAGTGCACTATACCTTAAATACTGCAGCTTGCCAAAGGATGTTGATTGGCTGCCCACAGGTCAGTTAAGCTGTATGTACCTCAGCCGAGGTCCCCAGACACACTAACACTTCTTTCTTAAAAACGCTCACCAGTGGGACAGGCTCCACCCCCTAGTTCCTAGGCCCACATTAACTCCGCCTATCCCAAGCCTATGGCCAATGGATTTTACCATGACTAGGTGCTCTAGAAACCGGGTCAATGGCATGGGCAGGCACTACCCTGTGAGGCCCCGCCTCCCCAGGCCTACATGTCTTTAACCAATCCGATCAGGCTTGACCATGAGGGTCAATTCCTCTTGACAGAAAACTCCAAAAACTGGGAAGACACCAACGACTTTCCTGGCTGGGCACCCACGTGTAACTTGAGATCACAAGTTTATTAGCCCTGGGGTAATATACCCAAATTCGTCACTGGCCCGGAGGACAGGAGAGAGAGGGGAGCAAGTGGCATCAAGCTGTTTATGACCCCCGTGACAAAAAACAGAAATGACCCAAGGGAGAGTAGGCAAGCGAGAGAAGGGAAGGAGAAGAGAAAGGGGGAAAGGGGAAAGGGGCTATGGTGTACATATACCATTACAGTTCTATGCCGGTCATCGCACCGAGCCCAGCGGAGGGTGGCACCGCAGGCGCCTCAGGGCCTCTGCCAACCGGAACAGGAGCAGAGTACCCCTGTCGCACATCCTTCGACAACACCACGACGAGGTCACGGTCACAAGGGGCAACCGCCCACTGAGGAGAGCCACCAGCAGGGGGCACAGTGTCCAACACAGAAGGCAGCACATCGCCGCCTACAGCATCATCATCCATGGCATCACTCTCTTCTGCCCACGTCTGGTGAGGTGACGCATCCCAAGCCGAACGACGGCGCATAGAAATAGGCCGTTGATCGTAGGAACTGTCACCCCCTACAAGCGGTGCCCCAAAAGAACCATCGGCAAGCGGCCCCAAAGCCGGGGCAGCACGACCACGCAATACAGCAGCCTCAACGACGCAGGGCAAAAAGCCAATACAATCCAAGGAGACCGGATTCGGAGAAGGAAGAGACACAGCAGGCGGAAGGTTAGACTCCAGCACACGTGAGGTATCCAGCGAGGGCGACGGAACCGGCAGAGGAGAAGAGGCACGCGTCAACGAGGAAACTACCAGAGGCGACGATGCAGAGGGCATGGGCGGAGTCATACTCACCACCGCCCCGACAAGCACATGTTCTTCTGCAGGAGATGCAGCCGCCACTTGTACAGCACCATCCAAGGCCACCACGGAAGCAACCGGATGAGGATGCACCGTCACATCCACCGAACGGCGAAGGTCCAAAGCAGGCGCCCATAGGTCCCCTGAGCTCACTGGTGGGGCAGACAGATCAGGTCCAGACGGAGTGACAGCTGGAATCGCCGCAGGAACCACACCAGGCACCTGCACAGAACCAGGATCCGTCGGGGAATCCCCACGCACAGACAAGCGGAGAAAGTCATCCTCCAGGAAAACTGAAGGGGCCTCAGCACAAGGAGCGTCGCAACCGGCCGCTACGTGGCCCTTAGCACCACACCGGAAACACGTGCGGGTTTGACCTTGATAAAAGATCCATAGTCGGAGCGCCAGCTAGTCGGGGCAGAGCCTCGACTAGCGGGCGCTCCACACCTCCCACAGCAAACCACCACTCAGCAACGGCAAACGACAACTGACCTGTTGAGTTGAAGTGGAAGAGTCCACCTAGTGGACTCTGGAGAGCGCGTTGGCGACGACGTTGTCGGAGCCCTGGATAAAGAAGATGTTGATATTCTGCAAATACATGGCCCAGCGAAGCAAATGTAGGTGCTGGTTGGTGAACTGTGTATGCTGCAGGAACTGAAGAGAATGGTGCTTGTGGAAGATGTTGAGGTAGCACTCCAGGACTCAGTGAAGTACAAGTTTGTTGTACAGACGAGCCTACTGAATGGATCAGCGAGAGTGGTGATCCGAGGAGATTGTGAGATGGTTCATCAGATGCAAGGCCCAGCGTAGCAAGTGCTGATTGGAGAACTGGGTCAGCAGTAGGAACCGAATGAGGCTGTGATACAAGATGTTCACATGGTGCTACAGGAGTCATCGTAGTTTCGAGAACTGATCCTAATGTAGGGACCGACGAATATGGAGGTCCTAGAGGATGTTGAGGTTGTGCTGCAGGACCCAGCGAAGTACTAGATTGTTGTTGAACTGGGCCGTCTGCATTCACCGAAGAATGTTGAAGTCCGGGGAGATGAAGTTGTATCCTAATAGATTTGATAGTTCGTTGTGCTGCACGCCTGGCAGGATGTTATGTGGCTTCTCAATGATGATTGTAGCTGGAGTGCATGATCCCATCTAGCTGTGGTATGATGGTGTTCCTATCGCTAGGGTGGAAGACTGAAGGTTCTCTAATACCTGGCAGGGCGAGAATGGAGTTAGTACAAAACAAGGATTTACGCCTTTCAAATGAAATAAAAGGTAAATTTGTCTAACAATATTTTAGCTGAGGGCTGGTAAAGTTGTCTGGAGGAGCACGTTTATTTGGATTAGGTTCGTATAGAGCAGGATCTTTCCTGGTGGTGGAACAGATCGAGAATTTAGAACCATTGCAGTCAGGCAAAGTACAACAAGAAGGACCAGACAATACCTTAGAGACATTGATTGTCTTACACAGGTCGTTAGAGAAGATATGATCACATTTGCTCTGACTTTCCTGGGCATGTCCGCTCTGCTTCCTGAGGTGCTTCACAGTTCCTGGACGGAAACAGTTGTGGAAAACCTGGTGGTAGAATACGGGATATTACTTATATGTACGTTACCTGAGCTTGTCTGAGACAGAAGCTCGTCATGGTTGTTGATGGAATGGCTGAACGGCTCAGAAGACTCTGATACCTGCATTAGTGGTGCCTTGAATAGAGGAGCGTTCGGCTTACCTGTCATCTGAGACTTTTTGCAATTTTTCACTAAGTTTTTCATATCACGAATCATTCCTGGCCAGTAGTAATCTTGTTTCAGGGTCTTGTAGGTCTTGTAGAAACTGCAGTGTGAGAGAGATCTATGGACCAGATGCAAGATATCTGACCGTAGGCTAGTGGGAACTACTAGTTGTTTGACATTATCCCGATTGTTGTCCTCCTTCGCTTTGCCGGGTATATAATAGTGGTAGAGCACTTTATTCACCACAAAGAACCCAGGGATAGAGTTAGGTTGTGTCTCAGCCTGTAAGAATAAAGATGTTAGCGAGAAATCCTCTCTCTGCAACTTACGGAACTCCAGCATGGTGAGACTCGGTGGGAGGCTCCGTGAATCTTGAGGTACAGCTGAAGCAGATAGAGCAGCTGGTTGCGGGAGTACGGATTGTGCACATGTCGTCACCAGGACAGGATGGGAGTGTTACGGCCCTCTCGGGTCGCAACCGGGTTCTTTCTCTGATGTTGTTAGAGGTAGGGTATCCAGCCCCAAGCTAGTAGTGGCTTTCAAGGGATGTGATCCGTAACGCAAGTAAATTAAAGAGGAAGGGAAATAAAGGCAAAAACTTAATAATATAATTATTACCGTCCCCATAAATAATATATAAAAGGTTACACAAGGGGGGGGTTAAACACTATTTTACACAACGTAGTCTTCCTCTGAAGACTATGGACGTTCACGGTGCTCAACAAGGCTAAGCTCTTAGTCCTCTTGTGGCCTTACGATGAATCCTTCGATTCTCTTGAGTCTACCCTGGCCACAGGCCAGCCAAGTCACAGTTCCACTGGGGGCACCGTCATGGAGGCCTTCAACCACAAATCCAGCCTGTAGCTGGCAAGACCCAATCAGCAACGCTGGTTAGGCCACTCGACGACCGATATTAGGGTAGTGAGCCCTAGTCAGGAGCCTCGTGTGATCCCACAGGTCACTCTCCTCACTACAACACCCCAGTGGTTAAGCGTCTCCACCAGTCAGTCCCGGGTACGACAATCCCTGAGCTGCCACGTCACAGGCAGGCTAACACCTCAGTGTTCATCCGGGGGGTGACTCAGAGCTGCTGCAGCAAATACTTGGAGACAAGACGGCTGCCTTGGGTAGACTGATCCAACTTCCATTACAGCAGTCCCAGGTCGACTCTGTAATCAGACACGTCATCAGTACTAGGGACACTCTAGGGCAAGTCACTTACCGGCTCAGACCGAAACGCCCACCTATCCACTCCATAGATGGCGTTGCTGTCTGAGCGCCACCTCACCAGAGGTCAGCAGCGGCTGTGTTATGAGCTGATCAGGATGGGAAACTAGCCCTTGTGGCTGGTATTTCCTGTCCTCTCTTGATGGCGCCGTCCATTTGGAGGGGGTTTCGGGAGCTGACCCACAGATGGCGTGGTCGTCACTCCTCCGTGCTCGGACGCTGGGCTCGGGTCCGTAACAGGGAGACTTCATCAGAATCATCTGTTGCTTGTATCTCTTCTTTAACAAACTGCGAGATAGGATTTTCCATTGATGAGTCACATACCTGGGGGTTTTCTTTGATGATTAGATTTGTAGGTTATTGGTCTTCTGCCAAGTCGTTGCCCAGGAGGAGTTGAACTGACATGGGAAAAGGCTTTTCCCGGATGGCGATTTGGACTTCACCTTATATTAACGGACAATCCAGGCGGACTCTGGCAAGTGGATAAGGGGCAGTTGCAGTGCGATCCGTAACGAGGACAGTCTCTCGGGTGTAGGTGACATTGGGTTCAGTTGACTTCAGAAGAATAGATTGTAAAGCAACTGTGTTCCTCAATATATTCACTTTCAACCTTCCCTCCGAATCTCCACCGCTGGCAGAGAGTTCCGGAGTACAGGTGTGTTACGACCCTAGACCTCTGGGTATGGTTCCTCTGTTGCTGTTGTTAAACATATGTAATAATACAGCCTTGCCTCAATAAGTGTCTAGGGGTAAAAACAAACTGCTTACGTAACAAAGCAATATACTTAAAGTAAGAGTAACAAAGAACATACAAATAACATAAATGGAAAATGCAGGTAGCCAGAAATATTAATACACTAGTAATTAATATTACAATATCCTTATATAAGCACCGGTCATTTCTTTACAACATAAATGAATAGATGGGTTTGCACATAATGGTCTAACCAGGAAATTACCTATGTTACTAAACAATAAACAAATACCACAGACTTAGCTCAACACATGTCTCCACCCGCCAGCTCTACCAACGGGACTAGCGTTCCTCCAGCATTCGCGGCATTGTGGCTACCAAAAAAGACCAAACTAAAACCCACATGAAACCTCATGATACTCAGCTAACAAAGAGAAATTAAGCTAACAAATTAAGAACAAAGCTAACAAATTTAGAACATAATTATAAGTAAACTTATGTGTATATAACACTGCTAAGGTGTAAAAAGAAATTAAGTACAATCAATAAACAGGAATAATTCCAAAGGTGAAACATTGACGCTAGCTTGATACACGGCCCGCACACTGGAACATCCCAAATATGGTCATCCCCCCAATGAGACGCCACCGACTCCCCCCACAGGAATAAACATGCAAATAGCCTAACAAAATATTCAATACAGGCACACTGTCAGGGGACATATTTTCCCTGCTCTCTCGTGCACTGAATTGAGTACGAAATTGCATAGTGCACCGGTGATGTGCACCGTGATTCAACTTTCTGTTTATAACTTTTCCACAGTCGTGTTGGGTGTCGTTGGACAGCCCATGACATTTGCTAGCCATTGATGTCATTCTGATCGCTGTATCAGGTCTGTGAAGGAAATTACGGGAGGGAGTTGATTTCAGGAAATTTTTGTACAAGTCAAGTGTCGAGAGGGAGGTATGGGGGGTTAACGGCCGTAGACCACCCCCCCTATCACGTGCCCACCTCGTGTGTGAGTGGGGGTAGCGTCAGGGGGCAGGTGCGCGATTGGTTGAGGGCCTGGGGCCTCAGAAATGCTGAACCGTGATTGGCCAAGACGCTGAGGGGTCCCGCATGGTACCCCAGGCATGGTATTGGCGGGAAACGGCATTCTTACCTTGGACGTTGTACCCTGTCGACGTATTTCCCGTGCTAGGCCAAGCATCGGGAAATATCCGCCTGCAACGTTGCTAAAGTCATGCCAACATCTTTCCGTGTGCCGTGCGTAAGAATCCGGTAAGCGGAGAGAGGCCTGTATCGAGCCGTGTGAACTTGTCATCTAGCCGCGTAATTGTGGGACGCCATCTTAGAGGAACTGGACTGAGAGTGAGGCGTTAATTATCAGGCTACAAAAGCGACATCCACAGTCGATCGTATCTGTGCTTGAAGATACTGCTGTGAGACGTGCTAGAAAGGGTTTCAGTGAGAGAGAGAAACCTTAAATGTTATAATTCTGAGGAACAGTGAAGGACTCCATCTCGTGTACCGTCGTAACACCGTGTACCGTCGTATCCTGGGGTACCGTGCCAAGTGGAGGGGCGTGGTACCGCATCCCTGCTGTTGTGTGCAACCCTGGCTGGCCTGAGCCGGTTTATCCGCGCCATGCTGGTCTCTGTGTGTGTGTAGAGCTAACACCCCGAGGTCTGGGACCCTGTGCTCCACCTGACCACGTGTAGGAAGTGAGGACGCCTACGTCATCATCCAGCAGCAGCAGTGGGAGTGTGATTGACGTGTATGTGTGAGTGAAAGAGGGGCCCCACATGATTGATGTAAGTACACTGTTTCCGTTTGGGTAATAAAACTCTGAAGCTGGGTTCGCCCCCAGTGTCCGTCTGTCCTCTGTCCCTGGGACCACCTGGGGAGGTGAATGGGAATTGGAGACGTGTGAGTCTACCCTGTTTGTCATCAAGTTGAGGATTGGGCCCAACTGTGATTTTTGACGTGTGTGAAGACACCTAGTGACACATTCAGAGGTAAAGTGAGTTATTTACTTCTATGTTAATTTTCTATGTGTCGTATATGTATTCGCTGTAATTTGATTCCCTTTTTCAGCAGTGAAAGTGGTAACAGGGAGATTTCCCTTGGTTATATAATTTACTGTTGTGTTGTGGTAAAGTTGTGAATTATTGGTGAATAATTTACTGGGGGAAGTCATTTACAAGTTTTGCCGTGAGTGGCAAGGATGTACTGTGTTGTACTGTGATGTACTGTGTTGTACTGTGTGTAAACCGTAGACAAGTTTGACCTTGGTGGAAGGCGTTGTTTACTGTGAAGGATTCCGTGAGAATTAGAGTCAGTTAACGTCACCGGGGGTCACGATTTACCTAACGAGGTCACTTGTTCGTTGAACATTGTTGTGATAACGTAGGGACGTGTAAAGACAACTGTCACAGTGAAGTTCACGCAGTGGAGGAATTGTCAAGTGAAGACTGACGTAGTGTTAACGAGTTAACGAGCTGTCGTTAATTGAGGGATTAACGTAAGGGGTTGACGGTCTGCTGTGATCGGAGTCAATTGCGCTGTAATTAAGCTGTTGTAATTCGTTGGACTGATCAGCTCTGTCTGCGGACAGAGTGATTAAGCACTCGTAGCTAATTAAAGATAATTAGTAATCGCCACTTAGTGAATTCACCAGGTGTTGATGTTATTGTTTACACGGAGAGTCTTGTAACCTTGTGTGTGGTACAGTAGTCTACCCTCGTTAAGGTAATCTTGTCGTAAGACCGGAAGTGAACTGTCAGTTGAGAGACAGTAGGCTTTAGCAATACTCGTCTGAATTAATAGGCTGTTGTATTCAGTAATTAATTGGGAATTACTCACCGAATGCTTGACTTTCAAGTTGATGTAATTAATTGATTTACGAGTTATTGATGCCATTTAAGTGCCGTTGAGACACGTGTGTGTTAACGTAATTGTTTAAATTCAATTAGAGTAACTTTTGTTTGTTTGTCCTGAGAGACAAGTGTTAACGTAAGTTTTTTTTTATAGGGGTTATCATTCTTGGATTAACCGCCTTGTTACTTGGTATCTCGTTGAGGGCAGCGAGCGCCAGTCAAGTTTTTGTGATTATAGTATTGGTCACCGTGAAGCCGTGACAATATTGATTGCAAGCTTGCGTCACCAGTGGGCACCACTGTGTTCAGTTAGTGTCATTGTTCAGTCAGCGACGACGGGATAAGGATACCGTGGGTCCATCAGGCTGTTGAGTAGCTGTTCTTTAATGTGCCACTGGAGTGACAGTAAAGTAACGTAAATTCACTGTGTAGTAGTTTTAGTTCTTGTTTTGTGAATAAATTGTTTTGTTATAGAAAACGGTCGTTTACGTCAAACCTTCCAATATTACTGCCCCACATTTCATGTTCTGCAACGCTTGGCCTGCTTATGTTCATATTAAGTCTGTATCTAAAGCTCGAGTCCATTGCACAGCACCACACTTCTATAAATAAGAAGTGAGAATCCGTCGGCTACCCTTTATTAGTTTGTTAACTAGGAGGAGCCAGCGACCTAAGTGACAGGTGTTACCCGTGTGGTTTCGCCTGGCGGTTTGCTCCCGCGGTCCTATGATCTTAGGCTTTAAGATTAAATATCTGCCACTGGCAGCTCTTGCTGTTTAAGGTCTGCCTCTCTTGTGAGGTAGTTACGATTAACGTAACATCCATAAGACTTAATTCTTTGATAACCTGTCAAGAAATAAAAATCTCACACACACTACAGCATGCTACAATTACATCAAACATAATTATACTGGAACACAACTGGATATCATGTTATATTTACTTAACGGGGAAAAGAAATAATGGACATACATATTTATCATGATGAATGTTAGAATGAAACACAGATTCGCAACAAGGTGTCTGTTGAAGAGAGAAAGATCAGTGGATGAAACAAAAATATTCACCAAAGACTTAGGACTTCTATGAATTTGCAACCCGTTCTCGCAAATTCGTAAAGTCAATATTGACTTATTAAATAAGTGCATAGGTGACATACTAAACATAATAGATACCCTTAAAAAGCTTCATAGAAAACACCGACCTTACCTAACCTTGTTAGTATCTTAAGATAAGCATCTTATAGCTTCGTAATTACAATTGTTATTTAACCTATTATAGGTATAGGTTAAGTAATAATTGTAATTACGAAGCAATAAGATGCTTATCTTAAGATACTAACAAGGTTTGGTAAGGTCGGTGTTTTCTATGAAGCTTTTTAAGGGTATCTATTATGTTTAGTATATCACCTATGCACGTAGTTAATATGTCAATATTGACTATATGAATTTGCGAGAACGGGTTGGAATTTTAGGAGGAGGTGAATTGGGCTTTGTCTTACTGCTGACTTTACAGTGAGGACTGGTACACTCTTCTATTGTATGTCTATAGGTTCTGCAATAATGACAATACAACGCAGAGTTTTCATTACTGGTACTCACTTTGGCTGGAGTAAACCAAGACGTCTTACTAGAAGGTGTGTCGGATGGTACTCTATGAATGAGACTGTAGGAGTCAGCCAACTGTGCACATCTAGTAGGGTCGGTTTCTTCCTTGTCTGCTAGGTAGGACGTATGGAATTAGGTACACGCCTAAGGAATTCTTCCATCAGGATGAGGTTGATGAGATCTGTAAAGGTGGAGACTTGTGCTGCTTCCAGCCACTTCATGAAATATCTCTTTTTGTTATTTGCAAACTCTAGGTAAGTAGTAGCACTCGCTTTAAGGTAATTCCTAAACTTACGTCTGTAGTTCTCGATAAATAGGAGGTAGGCATCTAGCACTGCCTGTTTCAATACCTTGTAGTCGGTTTCAGACGCCATAGTACTGAGAGTCACGGCAGCCCCTACATGTCAAATGACACCTGAGAAGTACAGACCACTGATCCTGAGGCCAGCTGAGTTGGTTAGCTAGAGCCTCAAATGAAGTAAATAATATATAATTTTCTGTCTCGACAAAAGATGGCATCAACTTAATTGCATAAGAAAGATCGAAACGTACCTGGAGGTTAGCTTCCGCTTCCTTGCGCTGAGTGTGGTGTGTAGTTTCCAAGTCAAGCTCTTTTCTACCGTTTTCTAGAGCAATGGCGGCTTGTTTTTCAGCATGTTTACGTTCTCTTTCTCTTACTTTAAGGGCTTCCTGTTCACGCTCACGTTGGAGTTCAAGCTGTTCCCTCTCACGTTCACGTTGGAACTCTAGTTGTTCCTTCTCACGTTCACGTTGCAGTTCAGCTTGTTTTTTTTGTAGTGCAAGTTGTTCCTTCTGTATCTTGAGAGTTTTCTTCTGACGTTCGCGTTCTAGAGTGGAAAGCTCTATCTTCAATTTCATGGCTGCTAAGGCGCTCTTCATGAGATTCGGATGTAATATTATCATTGTCTAATAAGTGGTCAAGTATAAGGTTATGGAGATAAGTTTTAGTGGCTCCATGGGGGGCAGTAATGTGGTACGCATTTACAAGAGTTAGCAACTCCGCCTTGGTGGCACGAATTAGTGTGCCCCACTTCATCGTTTGGATTCTGCCTGAACGCTGTTAGACGAAACATGGTGAATAGAATGATAGAAAATAATGTGCAAAGAAAATACCTCAGTTGATGTACCAAAATATGAGATGTCAGACTGACAGGATGACATGGCAACTGTAAACTATCCTATTTAAACTTTATAGTCAAGTTTACAACAGTTAACTTTAATAATTGAATTGATTACTTAGATCGAAAGTGAAACGAATACGTAGGGAATCTTGTACCCGGTACTCTATATGATGAGAACAGGGGCAAGAGGGATCCTACTGGAATTGTGAAACATAATTGTCTCGAATGTAGTCCAAAAAATTTAGGGATTTCTTACCTGGTCTCTAATTGACGAGAACAAAGGTAAGAGGCTTCCTACTAAAACTAAATAGTACTTACAGAGTTATCACTCATTGTGCTCTGGAAAAAAATGCTAACTCCCTACCTGTGTAAATACCATATATTTGACCAACGCGTAGGGGTGCGGAAAGTGTTAATTTATGACGAGAACTGCTGTATGGGTCCTAACCGTACAACGTAGTCCGTAATGCTAGAGGAACTATGGCCCCCTGTGTCCTCCTATGTTCGGGTTGTAAAGACGTGGGCGTATTAGCCCGGAGACAGACCAAAGTACCAGGGGTACCAAAGTGGGTGATCTGCCGTAATGAGAAGTTCTCCTGTAGGGAGAAGAATATGGTGGAAATCACAGGATATAGCAAAGATTATTAAACAACCAATTACGAGTATGACTCGTGCCATAAGACACCACGTAATCCAAAGTCATCCAACAGTCATATAATGCTACATCTGGAATGTAAACAGTATTAAGCACCATCAAAATCACTCAAAATAGTAGTTCTGAAAAGACACAGGCAAACTTGTAATAAAGCCAAGTACACTTACACAACTTTATATGAAGCGTCTAGGAGCATACCTGAGTGAGGCTCCTAGGACAGGTCCCCAAATATATGTTACGGTAAAATGACTAAGTGCAGTGGATTTGGGCAGATGGAATGCCACGAACATATAAACAAACAAAAAGTAAAAACAAATTAACAAAAAACAGCTATGGTGACTTCTTCATTGTATGATAAATGTAGAATAAAATACAGGAAACTGGAAAATTTTTAATTCTTTAATTATGAAAAAAATCATCTTAACAAACTGACAAAATTAATCAAAATAAGCCATCGATCAAGAATCAAAACAAAAAACAATCAATCAGGCAAGTTAACCTTACGTTAAAGTACATAAATTAAATAGTGCTGAAAATACTGAGTACTGGCTGCGTAAATCTACTAGCACACAGGATAGTGTTGGAGCAGGTCTAGCAATTTGAGCCCTGAAGAGTATTCTGCTGGTAGTTTTTATTTTTTGTATTTTTATAAAAGAAATATACAAAGTATAGCACAAGACACAAGACAAGAACATAATAACAAAAACATAATAATAAGAACAATAATCACAGGTACAGAAGAATACAAAACATCACGAGAACCTAGAAACTCCTGGTACATGAGGCTGAATACAAAGTTAAACAAAAAAATGGACACACAACAAACACATGTACATAGAAAGACACAAAATAACGTTCACATAATAAACCAACACACACGCACTCACACAAGACGCACACAATCACATAAATAACAGAAAGCAGAGTCACACTGCACACAAAACATATAAGTAACATAAAACAAATTACGGCCAAGGCCCAGGTACAACAACTTGACAACCCCAAGAAAGAACCAGGGGCGAACAGCAAAACACTGAGACACACGCACCACAAAAACACTCACACTAGGAAGAACATGTATTTAGCAACAAAACAGCTGCACCAACCCACACAGGGCACAAACAACGGCCCACGCAGGAGCCAGCAAAGAAGCATACCCACACCCCCACACACCTCCACACAACAAACCGAACACACAACCACAGGAGCAACCACTCACACACCCATCCCAACCCCCTCCAAGGAGGCCAACCGGAGGGCCGGGGACCGAAGACAAAAACGAAAAAGCCCCACCCTCCAACCCACAACCAAAAGCCCGACCCACGACCACACCCAAAAACCACCCCACGCAAACACCCACCCGTGAACCAACCACAAAACTCGCTCGGAAACGCGCGCTGCACCCACCACCACGTGAAACACAAACGGCCTCTCAAAAATCCTGAAAGCCTAAAAACCCCATAACCCTCCCTCCGACCCACCCACACATAATACACATAGTCAGCAACGAGAAGACATAACGTATTGCGCACCCGGCACAACCGTCGCAGAAAGAACAAAAACAAAAACCTCAAAATGCCACCCCGACACCCCGGCCCACAAACCCCAACCAACACGTCCCGAAACCAATCAAGCAAGCCCCTTAACCGCTCACAAAAAGAAAAGACATGCAACTGAGTCTCAGGGAGGCCACAGTGCACACACGCGTCAGAGGCACGCAAACCCAGCATGCACAACCGCGCATTCGTCGCCAACGACAAATGCAAGAACCGAAACAACAATTCCCGCTATTGCGGTGCCAGAAACCGAGCCCCCAACGCCACTCCCTAATCCCAACACGGGAACAAACCCTCCACCCGCGGCGGAACACGACGAAATAAAACCCTATACACTGCCTTAAACGACAAGGACATGAAACCCGGACAACGGCAGACCTCCCGAAAAATGGCCACTGCCCAAGAGTAAACAGGAGGGGTGCAGAAGGCCGCCTCCTGACAAACACCAAAATTCACCAAAAAGCTAAACACCCACCCGTGAACCAACCACAAAACTCGCTCGGAAACGCGCGCTGCACCCACCACCACGTGAAACACAAACGGCCTCTCAAAAATCCTGAAAGCCTAAAAACCCCATAACCCTCCCTCCGACCCACCCACACATAATACACATAGTCAGCAACGAGAAGACTCGTTGCTGACTATGTGTATTATGTGTGGGTGGGTCGGAGGGAGGGTTATGGGTTTTTAGGCTTTCAGGATTTTTGAGAGGCCGTTTGTGTTTCACGTGGTGGTGGGTGCAGCGCGCGTTTCCGAGCGAGTTTTGTGGTTGGTTCACGGGTGGGTGTTTAGCTTTTTGGTGAATTTTGGTGTTTGTCAGGAGGCGGCCTTCTGCACCCCTCCTGTTTACTCTTGGGCAGTGGCCATTTTTCGGGAGGTCTGCCGTTGTCCGGGTTTCATGTCCTTGTCGTTTAAGGCAGTGTATAGGGTTTTATTTCGTCGTGTTCCGCCGCGGGTGGAGGGTTTGTTCCCGTGTTGGGATTAGGGAGTGGCGTTGGGGGCTCGGTTTCTGGCACCGCAATAGCGGGAATTGTTGTTTCGGTTCTTGCATTTGCCGTTGGCGACGAATGCGCGGTTGTGCATGCTGGGTTTGCGTGCCTCTGACGCGTCACTCTTGATGGTAATTCAAAGACCAATTCTCCAAAATTCATTTTTATTTCTAGTCTGACGCGACACTTGAGCGCGTTTCGTAAAACTTATTACATTTTCAAAGACTTAAGTTTACAAACACACAACTGAAACTGAATACAGCTTACACATCTTCGATTTTATATCTACATTTGGGTGAGGTGGATGAGGTGAAAACAAACTTTCAACAATGGGTATTGAATGGGTATTAAATTCAACACAAGACAGAACACGAAACAATGGGTATTGAATGGAAGTAATTGTAGAAAGCCTATTGGTCTATATTTCTTGATGCTTCTATATTGGAACGGAGTCTTGAAGTGGGTAGAATATAGTTGTGCATTAATTGACTGTTGATTGCTGGTGTTGACTTCTTGATGTGAAGTGCCTCGCAGACGTCGAGCCGCCTGCTATCGCTGTATCTATCGATGATTTCTGTGTTGTTTGCTAAGATTTCTCTGGTGATGGTTTGGTTGTGGGAAGAGGCTATATGTTCCTTAATGGAGCCCTGTTGCTTATGTATCGTTAAACGCCTGGAAAGAGATATTGTTGTTTCAGTTGTGTGTTTGTAAACTAAAGTCTTTGAAAATGCAATAAGTTTTACGAAACGCGCTCAAGTGTCGCGTCAGACTAGAAATAAAAATGAATTTTGGAGAATTGGTCTCTGAATTACCATCAAGAGTGAAAAGAAACGTAAGAAAGATCGAGAAAATTTGTGTTAGAATTATTAATCTTACTTTTTCGGTCATATTTAATAATATATATATATATATATATATATATATATATATATATATATATATATATATATATATATATATATATATATATATATATATATATATATATATATATATATATATATATATATATATGTATATGTATGTATGTATATATGTATGTATATGTATGTATGTATATATATATGTATGTATATGTATGTATATGTATGTATATATATGTATATATATATATTTTTTTACCTAGAAGGCGTACCACCTCTGGTGCAAGTGTAGGAACCCATAGCCTCGGAGATGAAAATAAAGAGTACTCAAAGAAGACCTTGTGGATCTTCACTGAACACTTTGATATTTTTTTCTCTTACCACCCCTATTCTTTTGGTATGTATGTATATATATCTAACTTTATTTGAAAATTTCATTACACAAAAAGGGATACAACATTGGTTACATGCAGGGTACAAGGCTACTTGTCACAAGTTGTAGAGCTCTTCCAGCTCCTCAGATGGCGGGCAGGATCCATGAACGCAGTGAGCATTTCCTCTATGGATCGCCACATTTAGGCGCTGAAAGAGAAAACTGGCAGCTCTAGGGTCTCTAGTAGTTTCAATTAGCTTGGACCCCAACTCCTTCAAAAAACCTAACAGCACTTTTACCCCAGGCACCAAGTGTCTCAGAG